GAGTTTCAGGGTCGGCCTCTTTTATTTATATTGAGTCTGACGCTTTGATTACTCAACCCAATTAACCTCGTGACCTATTTGAGCGACGTTTCATATTCAGCCCAAACAATAATATTAATATTTTTACAAGGTCCTTATTTTTCATTCTCCATTTTATAAAAAGAAAATTATTGCAAAAAAAAAAAGAAACAAATATATGGCATAAAAATGGAAAATGTATTTAGAGAGTAGAATAAATTATATTTGTGTATGTGAGTTGATTTTTTTGTAAACACTCAGCATAAACTTCAAAATATAATAAATTAAACATTAAAAATGACAGCATCTCCGCAAGAGAGGTTTGATTCCATTCAATAGTCGTTTTAATTTACATTCCCATCTTGTAAATCGATTTTGGTTTATAGATAAAATATAAGAAATATGATATTATAAAGTATACGTTAAATAATGATAATTTTAAAAATATAAAATAAAGATTTTTTAATAACATTGTCAAAGTTATAGCATGTTATTTTACTTTCTTTTTCTTTTCAAAATTGATAGAAACAAGATGAGCTGCCTACTTTTGAAAGATGCGCTCATAAGTAGTGTTTAATTGTGTTTTAAATAGGATTACTTTTAATGAAATAATGCTTGTGGACAATAAAAAATATATATATAATTTTTACGACAATAAAAGTCATGTTAATATTTAAAGTATAAACAATAATTTAGTTTCTAACTTTTTTAAACAGTACTCATTTATTAAATATTATAATTACTTTTACATAAATTGAGTTTGGGTATTTATCATGATGAGTTTCAATTTCGAACCATTTTACTTAAAAACTATGTGATCCATATATTATTTGGCAGTACTAGTTTAATGAAACACCTTGTTTTCAATTTTTTTATATTAATAGATGAATAATATAAAATAAAAATAAAAATTTATCATTATTTTGACGTTGAATAGTAAGTTTATTATTTAAAAATTATATCTCATCGCATCAATAAAACATTAAGGTATTTATTGCTATGATGAACAACCCTCACACACACACATAATATAAAGATTTTAATAAATTATATATGTTGCTTATTAACCATAAATCATGCAACTTATTTTTTATATTCACACATACTAGTTTTACATATAAAAAGAGAATAAATATTAAGTTTTAAAAATTTAATTTAATAACGATCAGGTTTTAAAAAATTGGTAGTAAAATAAGTTATAGATACTAATCAAATCATCACATGACTCTTATTTGCATATAACTGGAGCCCATGTAAAGGTTTTAGACCATTGATTCACAAAAAAAAAAAAAAAGGTTTTAGGCACTTGTAATTACATTTGTTACAATTATTATTTATAATTAATTCTTTAAATCCTTTTTGTAAAGGTTAAATTGATGCTACTCCCGTCTAAATGCAAGACATCTTTCAATCACATTTTGCATATTAGAAGAAAAGTTATGGAGAATTGCACTACAGGCCTTAAAAAATAAAAAATTTATTTTAGACCTAATACATTTTGATATTGCGTTGCAGGCTTAAAGCTCTTTGTTGCAATTTTTCTTTAGAGTAAAGGTACAATATTGCCCTTATGTGATTTGAAAATTCACATTATATGTAACACAATATTCATAGATGCATAACACAATATCCATGCATGTCCAATCAATTTATAGGTTAAAATATACATTACATAGAGCATATACAATAGTAATGTCAATAGATGCATAACACAGTGTTCATGAGTTTTTAATACAATATTCATGCATGTCCAATTGATCTATATGTTAATTAAAATAAAGTTATGTAGAGCATGCACAATATATTGTTCATGGATGCACAATATAATATTCATGAGTTCTCAATATAATATTCATGTGTCTCCATACACGAACATTTAATTGATAATATATGAACATTGTATTGCACATTCATGTACATCGTGTTGTTTATTGTTTGCATCACTTATACATTTTATTAAACCTACTAATCAATTAGATATGCATGGACATTGTGTCATGCATATATTTTTAGATATGATTTTATGTACTAAAGTATAAGATATTTGAAAAAAAAGTTTTATTAATGATAATTATTTCAATGAAAAATATTAATGTATATTAATTTTTTTCCTCCCTTATTAGTGAAGAAATTTTGAAAGTTGATAAAAAAAATTAGACTATAAACCACATATTTAACAAATGGAGAATTTCATTAAAAGTTCTTGACTATGACATAATTTTAATTGAGATTAAAAAAATTTTAAAATTTTATTCCAAGCCTGAGTGGCTGAAATGAAATATATTCTCTTAATTAGAGGACCAAAACGTCTTTAATAATAATCAGCATTATTGAAATAATAAATTAGTTATAGTTTTTATAAGTAAAATTATTATAATAAAATCTAAAATTATAGGTTTTACTAGAATAAAAGCACCATATTGTTTTTTATCCCTATAATATACTTGTAAAAATCATAACTTAACTTGTTATTTCAATTATGTTATTTACAAAAATCATTGCTTGACTTGTTATTATAACAATATCACTTGTAAAAATTATAACCTGACTTGTCATTTTATCAATTTTACTCATAAAAATCATAACTGACTTGTTATTTTAGTTATGTTATTTATAAAAGCCATAATTTAACTTGTTATTCTAATACTATTATTTGTAAAGATTGTAATTTGATTTATTATTTTGGCAATGTTAATTATAATTGAAGGATATTTTGATTATTTAACTTAAAAAGATTTATTTTAGTCTCCCTAGTTTGCAATGAAATTTTAAAATTTTTTGAGTTTTGGTTGAAATTATGTCACATTCAAGAATCTTTAATAAAATTCTTCCTTTAAAAAACCTGCATTGGTGAGTGTAATTTTGCCAAAAATACTTTATAAATTGGGATGAATTGAATATTTTTCATGTCCACATCAATTAATAAAAGATAACTTAAAAAAGAAATAATTTGGAAAAGTAGAATAGATTGGCACACAAAAAATCTTTTCTAAAAAATAAAAAAATGTATCCAAAAAATGATATTTATGATTTTTTCTTGAAAGTAAATTTTTACTTATCAATCACAAATGGGTTAAAGTATATTTTTACCATTCAGCCATTCTTTTAAGAGCACTTGTTATTTTAAATTTTAATTTAATATAACTTCTCTGTTCAATTTTTCAAAATGGTGCACTCAGTATTTAGTTGTTGAAAAAAATTAATTTTAACCATTATTTAACTTTAAAATTGTAGGAAGTAATTTTAAAATTTACAAAAAATAATCAATAAAATTACACATTAGTACTCTATAAAAAATTAGTATCAATTGAATCTTTTAAATTACATATAAATAACATAGCATAGATGTTATTTCTTAGCCACACAATATTTTAGAAACTTAATTGATATTAATTTTTTTATAAGATACTTCCTCCAGTCTAAATTATAAGAGATTTTTAGGGAAGATTTAGCGTCTCAAAATATAAGACACTGATAAAAATAAGGTTTTATTAATGATACTTTTTTAATATTACTCTTCTCATATATTATTTCTCTTCAATATTTTGTCATCAATGGAGTATTGAATGAAGGATATTTTTTAAAGTTTATATTTTTTTAAAAAAAATAAGGTAATAAAGTGTATTTAATGAGTTTTATTGATATGTAAAATTTTGTTTAAAAGTGTCCTATAATTTGAGATTCAGGGAGTACTTATTTTGAATTTTTTAGTTAATTAACTTAACTTTTTTTAATGAATGAACTATTTTAAAAATTTTAGAGGAAAAATTATATTCTCTCTGTCTCAAATTATAGGGCACTTTTGAAAAAAATTTCTTCATTTCAAAATATCAGATACTTCACGTAGATTAAGGTTTCATTAAATACATCAATTTTAATATTACCTTTTTTCTCTATATAATTAATTTTTATCTCTTCTCTTTCAATGTATTAAATGATGGGTATTTTTTAAAATTTATATTTTCATTTTAAAAAAATAAGGCTGTTAAGTGTATTTAATGAGGTATATTTATATGTAAAATTTTATTTAAAAATATTTTATAATTTAGGATGAAGGAATAACATTTAAAACTTTAATGTTTTGATCGACAGTTCTGTTAACACTAATGGTGCTGCAGCCTGTAAAGGCATCATCAGGGATGATAAGAGAAATTAGATTAAAGGATTTTTCAAATACTTTGAATATCAACCTAGCACAACAGCAGAATTTATGGAAATTCTTGAGAGATGAAACCTTTGCTGGAATGTGAAATTAGCAAGAGTCAAGAGTCAATATCCACTCTGATTTGATGGAGGATTGTCACTCATTAATTATACTTACTCTGAGAGACATTCTTATTTTGACACTATCAGAAAAATCAGAGATCTTATTATGAGAAATTGGATAGTCACTTTTGACTATGTTCATAGAGGTAAACATATGTACTAATCTTTTAGCTTATCGGCCTCCACACGAAACATTTAATATTATAATTTTTAATGTACCATTGCAGATTATAGAAATCTTATAATTTTAAATATAATTAGATTTTAATTTATTGTACAGTTTTACGTGATCTTGTAATTAAAAAAAAAAAAACTTCAATGTTTAAGATGCCATTGAGTGAGCGACCAGATGAGAAACGAAAACAACCTTTTTTTTTTTTCCTCGATTTCTGCGTGTCATCCTTGCGCAGGAAACGAAAACAACCTTTAACCATAACTTGTTCCCTTCTGAATAAGTTTAGCTAAAAAAAAAAAAAAATCTTATAACTACGAATTTTGGAGCTAAGTGTTACCCACGTGTCAAAGTATAACTATCAAAGCCGTTGAAACAGGAAGTGGTGGTGACGAAAATCATACTGAGAGAGTGAGAGATTAAAAAGAAAGGCAAAAAAAGAAAAAAAGGCGGTAGATTGCAAGGCCTACGGAGGAGTGTGTGGCGGAGAGAAGATGACAAGATGACATTTTGGGAATTGACGGAGTGCACCGAAATTAAACCATCATCGCCGAAGCACATCCGATTCGCCGGCTGGACTCAAATGTCCGACCCGATGGGCCCCTCTGCATTCAATGCAGTCGTTTATTCATTACCTGCCTCACCACCCAGTCTCTCTCTCCTCCCTCGACTTGTCTCTTACTCTAAGCCTACCCTTCTCTTCTGTTAACAGGTTTTATTGCTCTTCTGAACGATCTCTTTTACAACGTCCCATCCATATCACTAGTACGCATATCTGGCCACCTATTAATATCTTCATTCTCAGTCTTCTCCCGATACCACCCGTAAATTCTATGCCTCTTCTTCTCCTTCCTCTCTCTCTTCCTTACTCCTCGCCTTCTTCACTTTCTCAACATGATGGTCCAAGAGGAAGTCATGAGTGATGCCTCTGCTCCTCCTCGTCCCGTGCTTTTCATATCCGCTGGCGCTAGCCATTCCGTTGCCCTTCTCTGTAAGCGCCGACTTCCCACTTATTTCTACTTTTTAGATAAACAATTTTGTCGTACTTTTGTTTGGGGTAGATCGTTTTGGAAATTTGTGGAATCGGAGGTTATCTTGACATGACCCCTGGACTGTGTTTTGGCCCATTGGCATTGACCTGAACTTCTGGACAGTGGCTTAACGAGGAGTTCAATGCTGTCACTCTTGGGAATACCTTGCTGTTTAGATAAGAATTAAGATAGCCCACTTGATTTACACCTGTCTGTTTTATAACCAATCAATTGAGGTAGATCAGTTACAGGCAAGATTTCAAGTTTGTGCTTTGGCTTCTTGTTGAGCAGCAGCAAGAGCCAAAAACTGCATTTGCTCCGAAAATGTTTTGAAAAATTGGTTGTGGATATATATGGACCACAAAATGCACATCTGCAACCTTCGTCATTCTACCCTTTTTATTTACATCAAGAACTGGAATCCTTGCATAGTAGTGATTTATAATTTTCTTCGCTTCTGTCTTTGTTAAACTTACGGCTTGCTCAATGCCTATCCTTCACAGCTGGAAATGTTGTTTGCTCTTGGGGACGGGGAGAGGATGGGCAACTGGGACATGGTGATGCCGAGGATCGACTTTTTCCTACGCACCTGAGTTCACTGGATGGCCAAGAAATAGTATCTGTTACTTGTGGAGCTGACCACACGATTGCATATTCAGAGTCCCGCATGCAAGTATTTAGTTGGGGATGGTCTGCTCTCTATCTTTTAACTAAATTTTCTAACCGATAACCTTCCCATAACAGAAAATTTACCTTCCCTATAAATGCATGTCTTTTTACCCTTGGCTACCGTGTGTTGTCATCAATTGTGCTTAAAATGGAATCAAACAAGTTTGCCCATGCACTGTTTATGGAAACTCTAGCTCCTTTATGATACTTGCGCCCTAATCAATAATCAATAAAATATATAAAATTGTCAGTAAAATCTATCTAGGCATAACTATGGAAAGTTCATATTTTGGAAGAGGATAGCGTCTTAAAATGAAACATCGGAGGGAGATTTCTCAACACAAGGGCTGAAAAATGATATTGTTGGTTAACTTAAGAACGGAAAATCTTTGCTATGTTTTTAGGTCTCTCTGATCGCTATGCATAAAATAATTCCTGCATATGATAGGCAAAAGTCAAGTTTGATTTGTGGCGCTGAAAAATTGGGCACATTCTGCTATATTGTATGAAAAGTCATAATAAGTTTGCGGGCTTATTATGTTTGTTGTTGTCTTTTATCACTTGTAACTCCTGAAACATTTTTGTTCTCATCAAGGGGGACTCCTTTCTTCCATAATTTATCTTTCAGTTGGGTGACATCAGTACTGTTAGGTTTTTATGAACAATCATAAGCAGCTTCTGCTCTTTTTCTAAATTTTCAGGGGTGACTTTGGAAGGTTGGGTCACGGTAACTCTAGTGACTTATTCACTCCCCTGCCAATTATAGCGTTGCAGGGTCTAAGGATAAAGCAAATTGCTTGTGGGGACAGCCATTGTTTGGCAGTTACCATGGAAGGCGAGGTGCAGAGGTGAGCAGTTCTTGTTCAAAATTTGGCCACTCTTCGTTTTTGATTCTAACCTTTTTTCCAATTTCAAATTATTTTTATTTGGTCAATAAAGTTTGAGTTGTATGATTGAGTGTATTGATTGAAGCTGACAATTCCATCCTAGCAAGTTGCTTTGCAATATGTGTTGAATGTTATGGTTCACGTTTTTTATTTCATCGTCTAATGTTTTTCACCTCATTTGAGTGAAAATTTTCACTAAAAATTGCTGGTAAAAAAAAAATTGACTAAAATTTGAGGAGGAAGAATCAGACAAAGTTCTCCTGGTTCTGCTTATATTTGGTGTTTGTACCTATTTCCAGCAATTCTTGTATTTTTATTCTGTACTTGTCTTCTATCTCTTGAATAGAATTTCTTAAGGAACTATTTATGAGTAGAAGCTGTGAAGCAATACCCTATGTGGAATATTTGTTTTCTTTATCTCTGTAGGATAGACTTTCTTTCCATTTTTTCTGCAATTTTGATTTGAGAGCATATCAACCAAATTTCTTGATTATTGAAGACAAATGATTCCTTCTGTTGCCACAACTGCTGTAGTATTTTACAATTATTTGCCTATTTGGAGTGTTTCTTGACTTTACTCTGCCAATTGAAGTTGGGGGCGGAATCAGAATGGCCAACTTGGACTTGGCACCTCTGAGGACTCTCTTGTGCCACAAAAAGTTCAGACATTTCAGGTACTGCTTTTAGTGTTATTTTCCTAGGGCGTGAATAGTAAAATACATTCATACATTCAGTGTTAAGTTGCATTCATACATTCATACTCTCTTGTGCCACAAATACATTCATACATTCATACATTTCAGTTCAGACTTTACATTCATACATTAATGAGCATCAATTTACAATGTTAAGTTGCATTCGCCATAGCCTTGATCCATCAAATTGCTTCATGTCCACCTCTTTCTAAATTTAACTTAAAGGACTACCTCTTTATTTTAATCAATGTTTATGCCTTTCAACAACTTAATTGGTGAATAATAGTTTTTAGTGACTTCATTTTTAACAGGGAGTTGTTTCAATGGTTTAATAGTCACATTTAATTACTTTTTAATACTACTAGAACCTATTGAGTAGTCCCTTAGGTGTTAGTAATAATCTTCTAGTCGGTTGGCATTCCTCATGTTGTATAACGAGAGAAATTGGTGCCTGATCTATACTTTTAGATGATAAAGGTGCAATATAGAACTACAGACGGTGAAGTTGTCATCCCTGTAAACCATATGATCATTTAGTAAATGGTGTTTTACTCAGCCGACTCACATCTGTATTGACTCACATGGGCTTTTCTATCCTCAGAAAAACAATAGGCAGGAAAGGGATACCATGGTGTAAGAGATTTAGCATGTATCATTTTGTTTCTTGCGCTTATTTGTGAATAAAAAGAAGCATATATTCAACACCTTTTTGCGGTCAACAGCAGTTTGGATGTTAGCATCTTCCCCGTCCTCCAACCCTATTTTGTTCTTTCTCTATAAGGTAGAAACCTTGTGATTGAATTTTTTGCATTAAAAAATGGTGGAGTTGAATCATTGTGATTATGACTAGCTTATCAAACTACCTTCCAGTAAAAGCATCAGTGGTAATTTCCCGTTTTGCAAGTAGTGCTGATAACAAGGAAAGCAACAAGAACGATAAAACTGCCTCAACAAAAAAAAAAAAAAATGAAACATCTTAATATCTACATCGTCTATATCATTTTTCAGCAGGAAATCATATATTTATACACACTAATGTGAAATAGTACATTGTTGTAGGGTGTACCTATCAAAATGGTAGCTGCAGGTGCTGAACATAGTGTAGCTGTCACTGAGCATGGGGAACTGTTTGGATGGGGTTGGGGACGATATGGAAACTTGGGATTGGGAGACAGATCTGATCGCATGTTTCCTGAAAAAGTTTCTTCTGTTCATGTATGTCCTCAAATTGGTAGTATCTCATCTTTCCAGATTAGAGTATGATGACCTTGGTCATAGTTTGAGTGGTAGATGACTTTATCCAATGCTTGATTCCTGAGAAAGTTTTACTCGTAATGTAAAACAGAAAATGAAGCATTTCAGGGGTGTGCTTGCCAGTGTTTTGTAGGTTGACTTTGAAAGTATTTATTATATAGATGGAAAATATTGCTCTATACTGTATTTATTTTTGTCCCTAATTGCCCATTGCTTGTCTGTTTGTTTGGAAGTTACATGGTGACAAGATGGTCATGGTTGCTTGTGGCTGGCGGCATACAATATCTGTTTCTTCTTCTGGAGGAATTTACACATATGGGTGGAGCAAATACGGCCAGCTAGGACATGGGGATTTTGAGGACCACCTTGTGCCTCACAAGCTTCAGACCTTGAACGATAAATTTATTTCTCAGGTTTCCTCTTAATCATATCTTGGATGTATTAGCCTTTTATTTTCTAACTTCATGGAAATAAATTTAAGTGGTTCAGAAGATGCCAGTTCTCTTCACTCCTCTTTAATTGGTCCTCTCTTCCCTGAGTCCCAATTAGAGGCACCTTTTTTTTCGGAATGGAGTAGACTGTAGCTAATTGCCTAATTCTCATCAAGTAAATAACAGCTTCATTGTGTTGTGTCACATAAATTCCGATTATGTTCCTCTAGTTTTTTTTTTAAATTGCTCAAATAGAATCTTCTGCAGTTGTAAGAGCAATGTTTTTGGTGCTAGACATTGTGATTATGGATGTTCGTTTTCTATCTCTGAATTTTTCCTTATTTCTTCTAGATATCAGGTGGTTGGAGGCACAGTATGGCAATAGCATCTGGCGGACATCTATATGGCTGGGGTTGGAATAAGGTTGATGAAAACTTTTTATTCTTCTCCTATTTCGTTATATCTTGTATTGTAGTAACTAGAGATACTTGCTAGTTTAATAATTGGCAACTTGTTAAGGAATAGATGGCACAATATATGTGATACTCGTCTCCTAGTAAGAAAAAGAAAGTAGTTCCCAGTCTTATATTCCTTATATTTCATGACGCATGCATTTCATTTCTACACGTGTTTGACCTTTTATGTTTCTCTAAATGCAGTTCGGACAGGTTGGAGTTGGTGACAATGTTGATCATTGCTCTCCCGTACCTGTGGAATTTCCCCTTGACCAGGTACCTTCTTGAGCCAAAATAATAGGACAAGGGCTAAGAAAACCTTGATGTATTTGTCATATTCTCTCTCTCTCTCTCTCTCTCTCTTCCTCTCATTTTTTGTTTGTCCTGGTAGAAAGTAGTTCAGGTCTCATGCGGATGGAGACACACTATTGCTGTTACTGATAGACAAAATGTATATTCTTGGGGAAGGGGCACAAATGGACAGCTTGGACATGGCGAAACTATTGACCGGTAATTGCATGTGCACCTGAATAATTTTGTTGGAGCGCTTGAATGGTTAGATTTTCAAATCAATTGGGAAGAATTTCCTTGATGCTTATTGCTAACTTAATCTGTTGAGAATTATCAAGGGCCATGAACTCCTTATGATCCGAGCTTGACCTTGTGTGGCTGCCATCTTGGCATTTTCTTCTTCATAAAATTCTAGCTTTTAGTTAATGTCTGTCAGAAATTTTGACATGGTAGAACTATGATTCGTTGTATGTTTCGCCCTTAAAGGATTAGAGATTAGAGTCTCATCAATTTTGAAACTGGAGCCTAGTCCTAGACTCAGGTAATGGCTGTGTCTCATCGTTAGTCCTGAGTTATGAATGTCATCTTTGTAATTTGTAGGAATGGACCTAAGATTATTGAGCTCCTGAGTGTTGATGGGTCTTGTGGGCAGCACATAGAATCATCCTCAAAGGCTGATCCATTGTCTGGTGCGTCATTATTCGCATCCCTTATTATAGTCATTAATTTTGGCCTTTTCCATTTCACACCGTTTTCAAATGAATCTGCATTATGGTGGTTGGGCAGGGAGAACTTGGGTCTCACCAGCGGAGAGATATGCAGTTGTTCCAGATGAAAATGTGAGTTCTTGTGTTGGTATTCAAATACATTGTAGTTCAGGGGCAAGAAAGAATGTGTTGTTGATAATATAGATTTTTTGCTTAGTTCAGGAAAATGTGATCCTTAATATGACTATATGTATCACGAGAAGTTTCTAAATCAGATGAGATTGCTGCTGACTTGTATTGTATGATTAAACAGGTTTCTGGACTGCCTGGTAGTTCAGGGAGGGGAGACGCAAGCGTCCCTGAAAGTGATGCCAAAAGGGTCCGAATTTGAATGCTTAGTTTTCAGCAGATGAGAAGAATGTGTTGTGCAGGTCTACTTCTCACGTCAGTCCATGAGAGTCATCACATGCTACTAAGTACTGATATTTGGCTTTGATGATGAACCATGATGGTTGTAAATTGAAGCCGTGTCTTGATGAATGTTGTGTCTGATTGTCGTCTTCTTCTGTGTCTAGTTGTTAGGGAATACTACCTCTAGCATAGCTTTGGTTTAATCTTCGTTTCAACGTGTTTCTTAGAATGTGTATTTTGCTAGGTCCTCGTACAGGGCTTCTTGAAGGCATGACCAATCAGCCTTGAATCCTTTGGCGTTAGTTTGTGAAACTCTCATCCATTTGGAATAATTTTATGGTTTTGCCAATGCTATGTTTTTTTACTGATGGTATGCTTGATTATTAAGTACATTTTAATATATATATTTTGTATTTACTATTAAATTATAATTATGGTTATTATAATTGTCTATTTGTATTTACTAATTATTAGTAGTGCAAAAATAAAATTGATTAAATTAATTTTATCAAGTTTATTTAATAAATATTATAATTTAATAATGGATAGCAATATAGACAATAAACTAAGTTTGAGTTATTTGAATTTTGAACTTAGTAACTGATACATATTAAACCTAGAATAATTAAAATTATGGTTATTATAATTGTCTATTTGTATTTACTAATTATTAGTAATGCAAAAATAAAATTGATTAAATTAATTTTATCTAGTTTATTTAATAAATATTATAATTTAATAATGGGTTGAATAGCAATAGACAATAAACTTCCTAGTTTGAGTTATTTGAATTTTGAACTTATATCTAATATATATTAAATGTAGAATTATTAAATTTGGGCTAATCTCATTCTTATTGTTAATTTCAAATTAACGGTAGTCTCTTCATGCATGGTAGGCTCCATCATTTTTTGCTTTTTGGCAATTGTTACTCCTATTTACCCCTTGTCTTGCTCTCTCCTCCTGTTGGTTGTATGGACGTAAACAGTGAGCTATTTGAGTCATGTTCGAAGAACATTGTCCTTAAGAATTATTTCGACACACCGGGATGACGGACCGACAGTTTCACGAGATTAAACAAGTATTTCTTGCACAATGCAAGGGTACAGAACAGCAGCACTAATAGAAAAACTTAGACGAAGAAGAGAAGTCGGAGGAGGAGAAGAATACCTTGAAAGCTTAAGAGGCTGGCATTGATCCTGTCTGCACCCATGGCTATATATAAGTCGAAGGTAGACATTGGGCTCATGATTTTGAATTAGACCCCATTAAGCACTAGTTACACAGACGTAAAACACATTTAAGCTCTTTTAAGCTCTTGTCTGAAAATATTAGGGGGTTACATGAATGTTTATGAATTTAATCATCCGTTTCAGAGTCTGGTTAATGGCTAAAAAAACATTCATGGTTTGATTTCAAACTTCAGACAGTCAAAAAATGAGATTTTTCGGTAAGCTCATGTAAATAAATAATTATTTATTTATTTTTGTAAAAATAATTCGGTAAAAGAAACTCAATGCCTTTTAAACTCACGTGCAGGAGGGCGAATCGATTGATTTCAACAACGATTGCCCTGAATTGGCTTGTTTCGTGCACATGAGCCCACTTCTTCTCCAAGTCCATTTTACTAAGCCACTTTATTCCTTAGCATTTATACACTAGGAGAATTCTTCATTTAGGCAATGTGGGACTTTTGAACACACACGACAATCCCCCATATGTGTCAAAAAGATCTACTTTCATCTGAGTTATTCACATGGAGGGTAATCACATTGAATTTGGTGTCTATCAACTTGAACCAAACCTAGATTAATAAAACTTAGCACACAGAAAAGTCGATGTAACTTTGTTATTGAACCAATAGATCTTGAGTGTGTATTAGAGGTCTTATTAATTGGATTATACCCCTATAGTTTCTATTGTTAACAATGGTTTTGCATGTTATTGGCCATGCGCGTGCCTAGTTTTAACAAATGCTCTAGAGATTTTGCCACGATCTCATAGAAGTGGCTTTACTCCACATTTGTATAGGTGTTTTCATTAAGTGTATTTGCAATGAATACACTATCCATAAGGACTATGAAAATATTAAGAGTTTTCGCTCAACCTCCGTTCAATGCATTCTAGCACTTTCTCAAGCCATAAGAAGGGACAAAAATTTAGTGCTAGTAGAACTAATAAATAACTTGTTCTTACCCATTGAACCTTCTTCATGGGATCTCCAATCATAAAGGTTAGGTTGCCATCATCATTAATTTCAAACAAGTTTTAGTCTTATTCCCCTCGATGTTTCAATAATAAATTTCTTCTTCAGGGGCTTAGTTAATGGATCTGCCAAATTTAACTCTGATCTTACATAATCGATTGAGATGACCCCATCTTTGAGCAGCTACCTTATAATATTATGTTTCAATCAAATATGTCTACTTTTGTCATTAAATGTCTTATTTTTAGCTGTTGCTATTGCAGACTGGCTATCACAATGTAAAGACATTGATGGTGTGGGCTTTTCACCTATTGGAATACTCGCTAAAAAGTTTTTCAACCACTCAACCTCAGTTCTAGCCAGCTCCATGGCGATAAATTTAGAATCCCTTGAAGATTTTGCGTTGATTGTCTATCTTGCAGACTTTCAGTTTATTGCACCACCACCAAGAGTGAATATATAAACACTAGTGGATTTTGTCTCTTTTGAATTCGAGATTCAGTTAGCATTACTATATCCTTCTAATATAATGGGAAATCCACTATACAATATACCATAATTTATGGTACCTCTCAAATATCTCAAGACTCTAAAGCCTCTCAGTGTTTATTGCCTGGATAATGGGTATATCTGCTCAATTTGCTTACAGCATAAGCTATATCAGGCCTTGTAAAATTCATCAAATGTAATAGACTCTCAATAATTTGTGCATACTTAAATTGAGCAATTGGGTCATCCTTGTGCTTTTTTAATTACACACTCGAATCATAAGGAGTACTCAAATGAGCATTTTCTAGATGTCTAAACTTTTTGAGATTTTTCTCAACATAATGTTCTTGGAAAAGCAAAATTTCATTTTCATTTCTTATGATTTTTACATCTAAAATTACCTTGGCTTCACCCATATCTTTCATATCAAAATTTAAAAAAAGAAAAATTTTTGTTTTATTAACAACACACATACTAGAACCAAAGATTATTATGTCATCCACATATAAGTAAGGCTGTACATGGGCAGGGTCAGGTAGGGCAGCCCCTTAACCCGATGCCCTGCCTTAAATGTTTTTGGGCAAGCAAACCAAGCCCGAAGCCTGACCCTATCTAAAAAATGCCCGACTTTGGAAGGGCTAGGCGGGCAAGATCGAGCAGGGATCAGGCTCATCAGACAGGGTCTCTAGCCTTGCCCAAAAATTCAACATGAAAAAGTCTAAAACAATATACTACACACCTAGTAGACACTAGACAATATAAAATGATATTCTACCACCAACAACAATAAAGGAAGTGAAAAATAAAAGATAAGCATAATATGATAAAATTCATCACAAAACAAAGGGATTTCTTTAATAATTCAAATATGGTCTAGTCATCCATAAATAAAAATAGCCTTTTAAGAGGCCATAGATCTATCTTCCATAAACATCAACCATCAACCCATCAAGGCATCAACCATCACCACAATAAGTTTTCAAAAGCCACAAGTCAAATGGTTTGATAATTCAAAGTTTAAACATAAAATTAATTTTAAAAAAAATCCAACATAAACTAGACAAATTAAGTTGCCAATGTCCATTTGGCCATTCCTCCTAAGGTTGAAGCTGAACTGCTGAACCATCACATCAAGAACATGAAATAAAATAATAAGAAGAATTAAATTACATGACAATTTATAACAAAAAAAATAAATTAATTTAACAAAACTACCATATTGAGCATTCAAGCAACAATCTTTGTCCCTCTTTCAATCATCCACAGTCATAGTATCATATTGTCCTCCTTCAATGACAGTAGTTACTTCTAAAGGAAAAAGAAATCAAATTAAAAATATGTCCAACACTGTACAATAGCTAAAATCAATATTCATAGCACAAAAAAATATAGAAAAAAAATCAAATTAAATTAAAAATATTACTAGATTGAACAACATGATCTGTCTCTTTAAAGTTGTCAAATTCATGCAACTTATTAGTAAGTTCCGTGAGAGATGTTCCAAGTAGGAGCTAGTTTTGAGCACAAATTAGTGCTTCAGTCATTCGAGGAGATAGTGAACTCCTATATTGATTAACTATTTACCCTCCGGTGCTAAAAGCAGATTCAGATGCGACTGTTGACACTGGAATAGCCAACACATCTCTGGCTATAAGAGAAATAATTTTATATGTAGATGCATTTGCCTTCCACCATGACAAGATATCAAACGCTGCACCAGAACCAGAAACGATCTCAAGATTAGCTTTAAGATATTTGTTCAACTCTGTTTGATCATCATTGGAAGTCTTTTACTTTTATGACTCCAGCCATAGAACACCAAGGTCATTATCATCATCTAAAGAGTCATCCTCTAATGAAATCACCCCTAATGATATAGATGAATAGGGGATACTTGATTCCAAGACTTACTCCAGCTGAATACTCATTATACAAATGATATAAGCAATCTTTCACCCTCATTTTCATAGCTGCACATGCATCTGAATCAATGTAAAGCTGCTCAAAAACATGATTCACATAAGCCAATTTGTATCAAGGGTCTAAAATTACAGCAATCATCAATAAAGGATTCATATTATCAGTTTGACCTGAATACTTCTCATATTTTGTTTACATGCTAAGGCTCATGTCCCCAAGGAGAGGATCAGCATTCAATATATTTTTTTGCAACAAATTCTGCACACGTGCAATTTGATGGAAGCATGTGTTAGATGTCATATTCAATGTGGAAGAAAACATCAATGTGATATCATAAAAAACCTTCAAAAACTTGAAGAAGATACGGGCTCTACTCCAATCCCTTTCCTTAGGATACTCACGTCTACACAAACGACCGGTTGGGTCATGCTTAGAGATACGCTCATCCTCCTCATTAATTTTAAAGTGAGCACGATATTCATCATCTTCATCATGAATTCTTTCAAACACTTTTTCAAACTTCAAAGCAGATTCAAGCATCAAATGAGTAGAATTCCATCATGTAGAAACATCTAAGCATACAAGGCTTTTAGTGTCCAATTTCTCTCCATCAGCCCAACTTTTAAATTTAAGAAACCTAGAAGGAGAGGAACGAACATACCTCACAGCATTTCTAATGGAATCAAAGCTCTCTTTTAACTCTTTCAAGCCTTCATTCACCACCAAATTCAGCACATGAGCATAGTACCTCAA